TGGAGTTCTTGTGAGGCAGGAGGAAGGTGTGAACTGCTCTGGAGGCCACACCTCCACAGGAAGGCCACCTGGCCTTCTGTTGTCCACCCTGACTCAGGGCCCACCTCTGAGGCTCTGCTTCCTGCTAAGGACCCCAGGGGGAGTCCCAGCCCCACACCCAGCTGATGGGGAGGGCATATCAGGCTGGATCCAGGCAGTGGCTGGGACAGGCGCCACGTGTCTCACTCAGGACACCTGAGAGCACACAGAACAGTCCAGATCTGTCCTTTTCTGGTTCCATTATGCAGACAAAGGGTATCCAGGAGAGCACACATGACACCCTGGACCAGTTCCCGGAGTCCACACAGGTGGACCCTCCCCTGAGAGCTCACCCCAACCTCCCCTGGGCCCACTGGCCAGGTCAAGACCACCTCCCTAGCAGGCTGCATCCTCTAAGGCCTACGGGCTTGCACTGGTCAGGCCCCACCCCAGGCAGGGCGAAGGGAAGGGCTGAGGTGACCTGTGGCAGAACCACCAGCCCAGCCTGGCCTGGAAGTTAGGCCTGTGCAGGGGGAAGGAGGGCCCCAGGCAGAGTTTCAACATAACCTGGGGAGACCACACCAGCTGGCATCTCCCTGAGCTAAGCAGCCCTGGGGTGGACACATGCCAGGGAGGCACTGCCAGCGAGAGGACTAGGGTCAGGGACACTCGGCCTGCTCCAGGGCTACCTGGGACTGCTGATCCTGCCCTGGAGTCTGGCTGGCACAGGTGGGTCACCATCACACATGTGGCTGTCCTCTGCTGCGACAGCTCCTGTCTCTCGTCCACTGGTCCATGTGAAATCCCCTCACTGCACATGTGAGTTCCAGACAGCTCAGCCCAGGGTGCTGTGGGGGTGGATGTCCAGTCCCCGTGGGGTCCCTAGTCCAGGAGGAAATGCCTCCCAATCTGCCTGTCCTTACCTCCCTCTGCCCTCGCCCCCAGAAGATCCCGGCCTTCTCCTCGGGCTTCTAAACCCACCACAGTCCTCCTGGATGCTCAGCTGGCCCCACCCCCACCCCAGCCAGGCCTGGCTGTGTCCTCTCCATCAGGCTCCTCGGTTTCCAAGCCCTGGCCATGCCTGACACAGGTACTTCTCTTGTGGGAACCCAGGGACCAGCTGGCTCACCAGGCACCCCCAGAAGGGGCATGGGGTACAGGTACAGCCCAGCCCACCCCCAGCATCCCAGAGCACCCTCAAAAGACAGTCGATGTGACCCAGATCTACCACACAGCTGCCGGGGCCTTCAGGGCTGGGGGTGTGGCTCAGCGGCAGAGCGCTTGCCCAGCACAGGTGAGGCCCTGGGTTCGATCCTCAGCTCCGCGTAAAAATAAATAAATAATAAAATAAAGGTAAAAAAATATATAACATTAGAAAAAATTAAAAAAAAATAACAACAGCAAACTTGAGCTGGTGACCTTTGGGGAGCCTAGGGCCCATTCTGAGGTCCAGAGAGCTGGCTGCTGTCCTTAAGGGGCCGCCCAGGGGAGGCAGCCTGAATGGAGCTCTTTCTAGGGAGGCCCTGGGGCCCTGCTCTGGTGGAAGATGGGCTGGGCCTCAGGGCGGATGCTGGTAGGCGTCAGGAAGGGGGGGCAGGAAGGGGGTCCTGGGGGAGGGCAGGCTGATGGCCCAGAGGGGCAGGCAGGCAGGCAGGGATGGGTGGGGAGGGCACTTAAGGGACAGGCCTCCTGCCTCACTTGGCAGGCACTTGGCAGGCAGCCGGGCTAATTCTCCCCACTCACCTGGGCCTCCCTGGATGGTTCTTCCCCGCCCTGCTCCTAACTGCTCAGTCATTAGCAACCAGAGGTGAGTGGTTCTGAGGGCCTGCTGTCCCTAGGGACCCTCACTTAAGTCCTGCTTGGAGCCCTGGTAGGGCCTCAGCCCTGGGGAGGGGCCTGGCTCTGTCCCATGGGGCAGCCTGACCCACTGTGGTGCTGTTGGCCTGGGAGGGCCTAGACCCTGGAGGACTGACTGTGGCTCCCTACGCTGGGTCCCTGCCTGCTGGTCTGTCCACAGCTGCCTCCTGCAGGGCTCTGTCCTGACAATGCTGGATCCTGCCTGCCTTCCCATTTCTCATCCGTGTGAGAATATTTCACGTCTCCTCCAGAGAAGCCAGTCCAGATGCTCAGCTGTCAGAGGACCACGGGATGCCAGGCTGGGGCCCTGTTGGGGCCACGTCCACCCTCAGGCCTGCTCGGGCATCACCCTGCAGCAGGCTGCTCCACTCCAGGACCCTTGGAGATGGGGTGGGGATCTCTCCTGGGGTTTGGCCTGGGGCAGCACACAGGCCAACCCAGCCAGCCCAGGGCAAGCCCCCTTCCCTGCATGGAGTCTGTTCAATGGGTTGGGGGGGTGCGTGAGGGTGCTTCTCTCTGCTGGCCTGGCCTGCATTCAGAGGGGGACCTAACCTGGCTTCCACTGGGGCTTGGGTGACACTATGGGCTGGGCCCATCCACCCCTGGCTCTTCTACTCCATTTTTTTTGACATTTTGGAAGAAGGGCCAGTGGTGCAACAGCCCCTGTCTGCCTCCTGTGGAAAGCCTGTCCCCTCTCTTCTGGAGACCGAGTGGGCAGGGCAGAGCTAAAGCCTCATGTCCACACTACAGAGCAGGAGTCCAGGCTCTCAGAGCCCACCTGCAGCCACACCTGTAGCCACCAAGGCCTTTTTACAGCCCTGCCCCACTGCCCCCTCAAGCTGCCCCTTCCGGGGCTGTTAACCCACTCTGCAGGAGAAGGAGCCCAAGTGCCACCAAGGACTGTGGCGCTCACTTACGTCTCCAGGGCATACAGGAGGATTGCTTCTAGACAGGGAGCGGGCCTGGGTCTCCTAACACTGCCTCTTGGGTCCTGGGAAGGGGCAGAGGCTCCACAGCATCCAGTCAGCTTCCACTGAGTGCCGCTCCCCAGGAAGCCCCAGAACGTGGCCTGGTGGGTGAGTCTACCGGGGCCACGTCAGTCCCTTGAAGGGGAAGCTCTCGATCCTGCCCCTCACCAAGCTGCGTAGAGCCCTCAGTCACCTGGGGAGAGTGGCCTGGCGGCTCTGCCTTGTCCACGTGTGGTGGCTGTGCTCCCACCCCCCACCCACAAGGCCAGCCTCAGCAGTGGTGACTCACTGCACATGGCTTTACTCCGCTGTTGGAGAGGAAGCCCACAGCCCTACCCGCCTGCCCACAGCCTGCTAGGACTCGGGCCTCTCCCCACAGAGCCTGCCCGGCCCACAGCGGGGAAGCCGGGGGCAGGCAGAGAGAGCTTGCGCAGCTCACAGCTTCCCCAGACCCTCCTGGTGGAGACCACCACCCTGGTTGGTCCCCAATTTCCTGGCTGCTCCATCTCTGCATATCACCCTATGGCCTGCAGCCCCAGAACTCGGCCCCAGGAATCCTACCTGCTAAAGCCCTGGAGAGCTCCTGAGAGTCCCTGCACACCTGTGCTCTTACAGGTAGGGCAAGTGGGCACCTCTGGGCACCCAGGCCCCTCAGACTCGAGTCAGCACTCCCTTCCCATCCTGAGAAGCAGCCTTTCTGTCTCCTTTCCTCACTGTGGCCTGGCTGTCACTATACCTGTGGGTCCCTGGTAGGCTAGCACATGTGCTCCCCAGCTCCATCCCTTGTTTTAGGAATCAGTGACAGTGCACGAGGTGGGGGAACAGCTCTGGGGATGCCAAAGGCAGATGAGGAGAGGAGGACTGAGGCACTTCAAGTGCAGTGGCCATCAGGGCTACCAGGCCCACTTCAGGGACCTCCAAGCAGACACCCTACCCTTTGGCCTGGGATTTGTGCTCAGAGCTGGGTGGGGAGGGTGTTGCTGCAGATGGGGGCCCAGGTGACCACGGGACCCCCATCAGGGCAGGTCTTGACCCCCTCACCATGCTGGTTTCCTGCCTCAGGGACCTCTAGCTAAATGGGGACCATTTCAGAGTCTGGGGGTCATGAGAATGGGCAAGGCCATACACCCACCCTGTAGCTGTTGCCAAACTAGCCCCATGGGACAGAGACAGCTTTAGAAAAACAGGAAGTGGTTCCAAGGGGTGGCTTCCATTGAGGGAGCTGGTGCTCTGGCCTCAGTGAGGGCCACATCATGCAGTGGACATGCTGAACTGCACTCAGGGCAGACCTCATGCTCCACGCAGTTAGCCATGATTAAAGAGTCGTACACAGGTCTAGGACTTGGGGATGGGTTCAGTGGCAGCTCCCTTTGCCTGGGCCAGGAGGGGAACCTCTGTCACCTCCTGCAAAGACAGAGGGGCACAGCAACACCAACCATAGTCACTGACATCCATCTGATGGTCAGGAGGCCCGTGCACCATGTGGGGAGCCAGAGCCATTTCCTATCTGACGTTGGAGGTCCCCCAAGTCTCCCATTTTCCAGAGCAGGCACCCAGCGGGATGGGGCTGACTTAGCAAGATGTCCAGTGCACAGATTGGGCCTGGGGAAGCCCCGACTCTCCCCACATGGGTCCCAGGAGGGCAGGAGTCCCCAGTCAGGAACACCAGAACCAGCACCTGCCCATCCCTCCTGCCCAAAAAGGAAGTTAAAACTAATCTCTTGTTCAAGGCATTTATTCTAGGTGGGTTCATTATGTGCTGCAGCACTTAGTTCAAGAAGGCAGGAAAACACTGACTTTCAAAAGCACCTCTGCAGGACTCAACCCCTTGCTGCTAAGTGGCCGAAGACTTTGGGATCGATGTCTCCTCTGGCTCTAGGTGTTCAATGCAACCCAGCACCACTGGAGATCCAGGGGATGGTCTGGCAGGACATCCCTGCAGCAGGCCATGTGATTTTTAGTCACTTTCCCCAAGTACTGGGGGCTCCTGACACACAGCGCCTGCACACTGACCCTGCTCATGAAAGCAATTTCCTCCTTTGCTGCAGTCTCAGCAGCTTATTCTGACAGCTCAGTTTGTGCCCTGATAATCTGCAGCCCCGAGCACTTCATGTGCTAACTTAACAATTGCACTGTTCAGGGACCACAGCCGCATCCAGGCTGGTGAGTGAGCCCTGAGGAGAGTGCGGAGCCGCCCAGCGCACACTGGAAGGAGAGGCTTCCAGTCCTCTGCTCGCAGGCTGACAGCACCTCCCCTGAGGCTGGCAGAGCTGGAGTGCTGGGTGTTTACCAAAGACAGCTATTTGGGGAACAGGGGAGGGAAAAGCAGCATTCTTCAGCTCCCTGCCAGCCCCTCAGCTGCCACTCCTATGGACCCATCCGGACCGTCCTCTCCTCAAAGACACAAGTTCATTTTGCTTTTTCACACGGAAGAGAATCTAAGGTGAGGGAACATTGTCACTTTGAATGTGTGACTGCGAAATTGCACTCTGTCCCCCAGTGAATAATTAATAA